TTCCCTCCCAGTCTAAGTCTTGAAGAGCAGCTCTCAGCCTTGGAAAATTAGCTCTCTTAAAATTGAGCGTTTGTATTTTTCCTGCATGTGCTTGCTGTTTACAGCTAACAATAAATGAAATCATGTTATGGTTACTGCTACCCAGATGTTCTTTTATATGGACATTCATAATAAACTCTGCATAGTTTTGAGATTACCAGGTCCAGCAGAGCATCATTCCTAGTTGGGGCCTCTATGAACTGTACCATAAAATTGTCCTGTAGTAGGTTTATACATTTTTGCCCTTTTTAGTGTTCTTGCAGTGCCATTACTCCAGTCAATTTCCGGGTAGTTAAAATCCCCCATTATTATCACTGTGCCAGCCCTTGCAGCCCTTTCGATCTGTGCAAGGAGCTGAGTCTCCACCTCCTCATTAACACTGGGAGGCCTATAACAAACTCCAATGATTTTGTAGTACACACCCCCATGTGCAGTTCCACCCATAATGCTTCAGCCTCATCACACTCTCCATCAACTAGGTCCTCTTTGACACTCACTGTGAGATCACTTCTCACATAGACACAGACATTACCACCTTTCCTATTTACCTTGTCTCCCCGAAAGAGAACATTGCCAGGAATATTAATGCATAGATCATAGAGCATAGATCATTGCAGGCTTAGGCTAGGTTCACATCTATGCGAGGTCGCATGCATTTATGCTCCTGCATGCAGCTGCACAGAAAACTCTTGGGGGTGCCATTAAAGCAATTCTAAAGGAAATATTTAAAAAGCCCTGTCCCCCTGCTGTCACCTCATTCAAATTTACACAGCCGCATAGATGTGAACCTAGCCTCAAAGAAAAATTCCAGGCATGGTACCAGGCACAATCCAGGCACTATTGAGTGAATGTTTTGCATTTTCTAGATGAACGCAAATCATTCTCTGATTGGATGAGGTAGCAAGAGTGACATCACTGCCCCACTTCATCTAATCAGAGAACACTTTACATTCATTCGGAAAATGCAAAGCATTCTCTGAATGGTGCCCGTACTAAGCAGTCAACCTACTGTGTTCACAGTGCAGCAGGTCAAGCACTCTGCACAGGACCCAGAAGCAAGTGGAGGTCACTGGATCACTGTCTACTACCTATTACCAGGCATGGTAAATACAGTACATAGTTATGTTGATCCAAGCTGGACCAACTTAACTATGTAAAAATATACCATGCCTGGAATTCATCTTGAACACAACGGCACTTAGAAATCAATTCTTTTCTATGGACTCTGTTGACACCATACATGTACAGTGGTGTGTGCTGCCTAAACTTGCAGATGGTATGCATTTTTGGCAGTGCAACTCATGGCACTGCTTGTCTCTGCAGGTCAGTACGCCACAACTATTACTTCATGGAAACCTCTTAGGTCCAGTTCACACCTGAGTGCTTTGAAGCACATTTTCCCAAAGTGTATCAACACTTAAACGGAGCTTGAAAAAAACTGTAGCTGCTGTAGCTGCTGACTTTTAAAATACAGCCACTTACCTGTCCCTCGGTCCAGTGGTGTCCTCACCACAGCTGGTTTCACCGGCCGTCTTCTCTCCCTGGTGTCAGCTTCTTCAGTGTGGGCTCCTGGCTGTGACAACTTGCGGCCTCACAGCCGGGTGCCCACTGTGCATGCGCAAGAAGCGCTGCACATTGTGAATGGTCCTGTAGTCTTCTGGGACCTGTCACATATCCCAGAAGACTGCGGGGAGGGAGAGAAGGAGGACAACTTCCGCTTCCGATCGCCTAGGCGATCGCAGTGGAAGTGGGAGCGGTTACCTGTCAAATTCGGGTACCCGCTCCCCAAAGGTGCCAATCCCTAATGGGGAGCAGGGGACAAAGGCTTAAACCGGAACTTCCCCTTTTGGGTGTTGCTCCACTTTAATGTATAACTAAAGGCTAAACATTTTTTTTAGTTTTGGATAGAGTGGAGAGGGATCAGTCCCCCTGTCAGGTTTTTTTCTGCTGTCTGTGCCCCTGTTAGGGAGATTCACCCTCTCTATTTGTCCTGTTTACCATTATCTTCAAGTGAAAGTAAAAGTAACCCCAAATTTTCAATTGTCCCCAGAAAAGTTGCACACACGGACTTGATTTACTAAAGACAAATAGACTGAGCACTTTGCAAAGGAATTGCCCCAAAGCTTAGGCAAGCTTTGCTGACATCCATTTTCCAGTCTTGCAACAATTGCTTATGATTGGGCATTCTTTGCCAAGTGAAACATCATGACATTCACAAAGCTATGTGGCAAATTCCCTTGCAAAGTGTAAGTTTGCTTGCAAAGTGAACTGCCTGTTTGTCTTTAGTAAATCAACCCCACAGTCTCCAGTCTCCCCTCTAGATACTCCTCTCTGCTCAATACAGTCCTGCTCAGGGGCGGACTGATAACTCATGGGCCCCCCGGGCAATAGGGGATCATGGGGCCCCTGTGTCCTTGCCCAAACTCAAAAATGCCTATGAAAAAGGTACCAGGGACATCTCATGGGGCCCCCTACTGACCCTGGGCCCTCGGGCAGTGCCTGAGTTTCCAAATGGTCAGTCCGCCCCTGGTCCTGCTACACCTATTGCATATTGAACATCATCCATGTCCCACCCCACAGACATTGCTTACTGCAAACAGACACATAGAAGTCTCTGCACTCCCTGCCCCACAAAATCAAATATTCACTATCTATGTTGGAAGGGAAGAGGAGCAGTGAATGTGCATTGACCCTACAGTTATCTGCCCCCACAGAATGAACATTAACCCCTCAGTCATTTACGAGCAGGGCCCTCATATTCCTTCTGTACTGAAATCTATTGTAATTGTACTGTCTCCTTTATATTGTAAATCACTGCGCAAACTGTTGGCGCTATATAAATCCTGTATAATAATAATAATAATTTATCCCCAGTTTATGTGCATTAACCCCTCAGTGACGAGTCTGTAGTGTGTGTGTTAAACAATTGTAATCTTGAAGAAAAAAATAAATGTGGGCCCGGGTGGTTTAAGCCATAGTGTGCACTGCATACCAGCACATTATGGCATACTTACTATAAAACAAAGCTCATTATTAGGTTACCCCGCCTCTATATTTCATTGTATATTTATATTTTTTATTACTTGTAGGTAGAAGTTAAACAGTGGAGTTTACAACCAATGTTGCACCGATACCGGTGCCGATAGTACTTGTACAAAAGCTCCAATACCTAAAACCGATACCTTTTTCGTGCCATGTAGTGCGATTTGAGCACATACAAAATGAATGGCCTCAAATTGCACTGCAAAGAATTGCATGTGATTTGAACAGAAAATGCGCGGTGCGATTCCTACCTCATATGTATTAACCCCACAGAGCCCATTCCTCATTGCATATGTCTTTCCCCTATACACCTAGGCACCAGTCATGTGTGCAAAACCCTCAGTGCCCAATACCTAGCTCGTGTACCTCATGTAGCCAGTTACCAAAGTATGTGCTTTAGAAGACAGCTTCATCTCCCCCCAACTGGATGGTCATACTCTGCAGGACTGCTGGAGGCACGACCATCACCTAAGAAAAGTTAGCACTACGGTGAGCAGTGTGAAGAGGTGCTGGCCAGAGCTATTGCACAGTGCTGCACAGTGAATTGGGGGTGAAGGTAAGTATGTTACTTAGAGGCTGCACTTAGGATGGGTAGGAAGGGGTGCCCATTGTCATACCCTATGCATTCCTGTCAAGCACACCACATAATGCCTGCTAAGATACTGCTTTAGCAGCAATATGAAAAAGTGCAGCGCTAATAAACAAATTAAATGTGCTATATCAGTGACTGGCCACACCCTCAAATAGACAATATGAAGTCCATAGGAACAATGTCCAGTAAATGACATATGGATGAAATGGTGACTTTGTTACCCCAGTGAGGCACTCGTCAAAACTGTGTAGGAAATATAAGAAATGCGCACTCACCAGATGCGCATTAGGTAAGCGCAATATTAATAGCCAGAGGTCCCTTCTTATCCTGTGGAAGGTGCAGTTCACACTGGACAGGCTGTCCCACAATACTGGCGCCTCGAGAGATCTTCTCTACTGGTGGAAGCTGCGATGGGGGTCAGCTTATATGAGTCACTCTCCTCTGGGACTCAGGGTGTTCACCATATGGTCCTGGGGGGTTAAATGCTCGATGTGGAGCAGAGAATAGTGGCCATAGTGTAGTAGGTCAAAATATAAATTTTTTATTAATGGTTAAAAGTGATGAACATACATAAAAGCAAATGGAGGCTATCGCCAATGAAATGTAGACAAAGCATGCAGCAAAACCGTTCATAAACCATTTAGAAAAACTGACCAGCTGGATAGTTATGGGGGCCACCGGACCTCCTTGATCCGGTGGCATGACGTCTCAGGCGTGTATGGCTCCTCCTTAACATGTTTCGCTCACAAAGTGCATCCTCAGAAGGGGTGATGCCTTGGCCTTGAACTGCACCTTCCACAGGATAAGAGGGGACCTCTGGCTATTAATATTGCGCTTACCTAATGCGCATCTGGTGAGTGCGCATTTCTTATATTTCCTACATGGTTTTGACGAGTGCCTCACTGGGAGTAACAAAGTCACCATTTCATCCATTTGTCATTTACCGGACATTGTTCCTATGGACTTCATACTGTCTATTTGAGCGTGTGGCCAGTCTCTGATATAGCACATTTAATTTGTTTATTAGCGCTGCACTTTTTCATATTGTATATATTCAAGAGGTTATATGGTTTCCTTGTAGTGTATCAGCAGCTTATGTTCTCATCATCTTAGCGCTCACTGAATCACCTTTATATACTGCTTTAGCATCGTTTGTAAAATTCCCAAAACACTTTTGCTAGTACAGTATAATGAGGAATTAGCCTGTACAGAAATGGCAGGAGGGCAAAACTTAGCTGTAGAATTGGTGTTAACACTAGTTGATTAGGATCTGTAACTGTTTTATTCTGGTGACATGTCTGACATTCCTCTTGCTGATTAATTTCAGGTGCGGCTGGTTATTGCAGAGAAGGGGTCTGAAATGTGAAGAGCATGATGTCAGCCTACCCTTGAGTGAGCACAATGAGCCATGGTTTATGCGCCTTAACCCATCAGGAGAAGTTCCAGTCCTTATTCATGGAGAAAATATCATCTGTGAAGCTACACAAATTATTGACTACCTGGAACAGACATTTACTGATGGTAAGTCCTTGTCTAATGCTCACTATGTAGGGCAATTTTATTTATTGTAAATTGGAGGTCACATACACCGGCCACTTTATTAGGTACACCTTGCTAGTGCCAAGAAAATATTCCCCATACCATTACACCACCACCACCACCAGCCTGAACCGTAGATACAAGGCAGGATGGATCCATGCTTTCATATTGTTTGCGCCAAATTGTGACCTTACCATCTGAATTTTGCAGCAGCCAGCCTGCCCATTCTCCTCTGACATCAACAAGGCATTTTTTCCACACAACTGCTTCTCACTGGAAATGTTCTCTTTTTTGGATCATTCTCTGTAAACCCTAGAGATAGTTGTGCGTGAAAATCCCAGTAGATCAGCAGTTTTTGAAATACTCAGACCATCCTGTCTGGCACCAACAACCATGCCTCCTTCAAAGTCACGTAAATCGATTGATCAACTTGGGTACAAAGAGCTTTCCGGATTTTACATGTGAATATTGCTGACAGCTATTACAGCTGCTAGCAGTAATCACTGTGTTCTCCCGGTGGGTCCGGCTTCCCTTGCTTCCCTGCTGGGAGAACACAATGGCTAGGCAGGACCTGTGGTTGCAACCCGTGGGTGCAGGAAAGAAAATCACTCCATCTATGGTTGGTTTAATATTTGCAAAAAACATATATGGGTATTTTTATATGTTTTTTCACACATAATTCACACAACTTGTACCCTGGAATCACACGTTTTCATTTAAATCAAACTAGAAGAAAGTGTGAATCATGGGTGAAAGCTATGTGTATCTTGTCTGAAAACAATATAGCAGTTCCTTAAATGTTAGTAGCAAATGCTCATAGTATCAATTTTGCTGTTTTACATAGTTACATAGTCTGGCTGAAAAAAGACCAAAGTTCACTCAGTTCAACCAAAAAAAAAAAAAAAGTTATAATCCTATACCCACAGTTGGTCCAGAGGAAGGCAAAGCATAATCCAATTTCCTGCTGCAGGAGAAAAAAAATCCTTCTTGATCCCCCGAGAGGCAATCGGATATTCTCTGAATCAACTTTACCTATAAATGTTAGTATCCTGTTAAAATCTGTGTATCCAAGAAAGAATCCAGGCCTTTTTTAAAGAAATCCAGTGAGCTGGCCAGAACCAACTCTTGAGGGAGTCTATTCCACATTTTCACAGCTCTCACTGTAAAGAAACTTTTTCATATTTGGAGATTAAATCTCTTTTCTTCTTGCCCCCTTATCCTGTATGATGACCTCAGGGTGAATAGCTCTACCCCGAGTTCACTATATGAACCACTGATGTATTTGTACATGTTGATCATATCCCCCCTTAACCTCCTGGCGGTATTCCCGAGTGTAGCTCGGGGGTAACATTTCAGTACCAAAAGCGGTAACCCCGAGCTACACTCGGGAATACCATGCGGCGCTGCTCCGGCATGTGTTCTTCACTTACCTTACCCTGCGTTCCCACGATGTGTCCCCTGCAGCGTCCCCCCGGCCATCTCCTCCGGCCGATGCCGGCATCCGGCTTCTGTGTCCTGTCCCTGTGACGTCGGGACGTACGGGCGCCGCCGGCGGCGGGAAATTTAAAAATTTTAAAAAATGTCATTTTTTTTTTTTTACATTTTACACAGTAAAACATTGCTGTTTCAACCTATTTCACATACATATTGTCCCTAGTGCTTTGTCCTGCGCCCTGCCTGCATTTTGTCTGTTCTTTCTGCCTGGAAACTGAGAAATGTCATGGCGTCCAAAAAGTGTCCCTTTAGGTCAAAAGCGGTTTAGATCAGCTAGAGAACAGCGATAGTAAATCAGAACCACTTGCAGAATTGAGTGATAATGATTCGTGGGGGAAATTCGTCATCAGAAACTGAAAACGATTTTGCGACTGAGCTCAGCAATGTGCGAACTTGGCGCTCTATTTCACATTTCAGTGTTTTTGGTTTGATTATATTATTGAATTAAATTTTATATTTTTTTTTAATATTTTTATATTATTTTTATGATTATTTATTAAATTATAATTTATGATTTTGTGTTTCAAATTTTATCATACCCGGGATGTTTACTAGACTCTTGTTCGGACAGATTTCAGTGAGTTTTTCCTAAAAATTACAGCCTACAATAAAAAAAAATACATATTTCCATACAAAAAAATGGTACCGCTTTCAGCACCAAAAATCTGAAATAATCATACCGCCAGGGAGGTTAATCTCCTCTTCTCAAGAGAGAATAAATTCAGTTCCTCTAATATTTCCTCATAGCTGAGCTCCTCCATGCTTTCTTATCAGTTTGGTTGCTCTTCTCTGCATTTTCTCCAGTTCCCCAATGTTCTTTTGTGAGTTGGTGCCCAAAATTGAACTGCATATTCCAGATGAGGTATTACTAATGATTTGTACAGGGGTAATATGATATCTCTCTCTCTGGAGTCTATACCTCTTTTAATACAAGAGGGGATTTTGCTTGCTTTAGAAATCGCAGCTTGGCATTGCCAAGATCCTTCACCACCATTGATTCCCCCAGTTGTACCCCCCCAGTATGTATGATGCATGCATATTCTTATCCCCCAAGTGCATAACCTTAAATTTATCAACATTAAACCTCATTTGCCACATAGTTGCCCAATTAAACAGTGCATTGAGGTCAGCTTGTAAGTTGAAGACATCCTGTAAGGACGTTATTCCACTGCACTTCTTGGTGTCATCTGCAAAGACTGAAATTTTTTTTTTTAATCCCAGACCCTATATTATTTATAAATATATTAAAAAGTAAGGGTCCCAACACTGAACCTTGGGGTACACCACTGACAACCCTAGACCATTCAGAGTATGAATCATTAACCAACACTCTTTGAATACGATCTTTTAGCCAGTTTTCTATCCGTTTACATATTGATTTTTCCAAGCCTGTAGACTTTACCTTACACATTAGCCGTGTGTGTGGGGAACTGTGTCAAACGCTTTTGCAAAATCCAAGTATACCACGTCCACTGCCACCCCTCTGTGCAAGATTTTGCTGACCTCCTCATAAAAAGAAATCAGATTTGTTTGATAACTTCTGTCTTTCATGAATCCATGCTGTCTGTTGCTTAAAATATTTTTTTCCAGCAAGAACTCATCTATGTGGTCTTTTATTAAACTCTCCAGTATCTTCCCAAATATAGATGTTAAAACTAACAGGTCTATAAATACTTGGTAAAGATTTTGATTCCTCTTTAAATATAGGTACCACATTGGCCTTACGCCAATCCAGTGGTACTATGCCAGTCATTAAAGAGCCCCTAAAAATGACAGAGCTCAATTCTTTAAGGACCCGTGGGTGTATGCCATCCGGTCCAGGTGCTTTATTCACCTTTATTCTGTCTAAATATTTCTGGATCATATCAGTTGTGAGTTGTATGTTTTCCTACATATTGATTTGTTATTTGACATTCAGATACGTTAGTCCAGTCTCAGTTTATTCTTTTTTTTTACAGTGAGAATAGAAAAGAGCAATTAAAACATTCTATATAGGCACAAAGTAATAAACACTATGGAGTGATGTCCGATAGGCTCTCATATATGAATATAATTGTGACAAATGGAGATTCATACTCATTAGCTAGAAAAGTCATCTCACTCATTTAATGTGAATATGGCATAGGTTCTCCCCACCTCATACTTGTATCAGAATCATTAGCATTGTATCTATTCTACCTTAGTTATCTATTTTACCTTAGTTAAGGGTTATCAGGATTACTGTCATGAAGAACAAATATAGGTACGTAGATGTATAGAACATACAGTATAGAGGATTGGGATGGGATGCCAGGGGAGGAAGAAAGAACTGATGAAGTGTTCAGGAAAGGGGGAGGGGGTTGGGAAGATACCCCTCCTATCCTCACCATGACCAAAATGATATGAATTTGTTTTTAAGAAGAAATCATATTTTGGAACTGCAAAATACAGTGCATGATGTCCAGGTAATGGTATATTTATCCAGTCTGTTATAGTCATATTCTGCTGCTAGAAGGTGTTCTAGTTTCATGATGGAATCCAAAGGCCCATTCTGCTAAATTAGAGATCTGAGCAAGGAGAAATGACATCCATGCTTGCGGTAAACAATGGCAGAGAATACATATTTATTTTACACATTTAATGCGACCAGGGATCATAGATAGCATAGTATTTTGGGGTTTATTAAGAATATTTGTTCCTGTTACTGTAACTAAAAAACAAAATTTAATCTCTATATTTGGGATAAAAATATCCCCCTCCTAACCTTCTCTGATTGCTGGCAGTAAAAAAAAAAGAAGTGTACTTAAATTCTAAATGCCCATTTTACATATCAAAATCTGCATTCCTTTGTTTACATGAAGTGGGGTGCTTCTGTGGGTATCCATGTGAATGCCTGTGTGAAATGAATACTATCTAATGGCTGCGGAGAGGTGGGGTTCTCTCAGGATCCAGAAGAGGAGAGATATCGTTGCGAGTGGACAGTAGGGGACCATCTGCAACGCTGGATTAGTGGTCCACTAAACTCAGAAATGGCACTGGCAAGGAACCTAGGTGGGAGACTTAGGTCAGTATAACTTGCTTCACAAGGTATGGAAAGATGAAAATGCTGCCGGATGGATTAGAGGAAGAGAGGAATGAGAGGGTTTGGGGGTTAAATTTTTCTCAAAGTAAAACTTTAGTATACTGCAGCTTACTAGTAATATTGTTTTCATTTTATTTTCACCTGGTAATCCCACAAATAACACCCTTCCTATTCCTTCATAGCTATACTGACTTCTCCATGGTATCTGTAGAGTTTAAACATTTCTGTCTTTGTTCTTTTCCATTGCATGGTTGTTAATAGGATTAGTAGTTTACAAAAGAAACATATATCATTGATTGCTTCCAGTTCAGCTCATAGGAAGTGACAAGGACACTGCATTTCTGTCAAGATCAACAAATATTTTCTGTACTCGCTGAAAATGTTCTTAGCCTGAAAAGAGAAAAACAAATGCAGCCACCTCATCTAATAGTTGGTAAGCTGTAATATATGTATGCATCTGATTAAATTTTTTTGTTTTTTTCTGTAGATAAAACAGCAAGACTTGTTCCAGAAGAAGGAAGTGTGTATTACCTGAGGGTACAACACTACAGAGAACTATTGGATTCCTTGCCCATGGACGCCTATACTCATGGCTGTATCCTACATCCAGAGCTAACAGCAGAATCTATGATACCAGCATATGCCACATCCAGGATTCGTAGTATGTATAGCATATTTAAAGTGTACTTGTTCCTTAATGAGTAATTCTATTTTTTTTTAATTAAGATATTTTTATCCCAAATTGGAAACTGACAAATATGGCATGTGTCAGAAGGACAGATGTGGTTAGATCTCCTATGGGTTGTTCAAGCCAGTCATCTTTGGCATAAAGCTAAACTCAGGGTAGATTTAAATACAGCTCTGTAATCATTTAGAAATAAAAGGCTGTATTTATTTAAGAATGCAAGCAATGTACATACCTAAATTTGACCTGCTGTCAGCATCTTGCAGTCCCTGTACAGCTGGGCTATAGTGTAAGAGGAAGAAGGAACCGATCAGTTTATATGCTGACAAGAAGCCCGTTGATAGAAAGACAGAGCAGAGTTCTCCTTTCACCGTCCACTCACAGGGTGGGGCAGGTCCAGGACAAACTGGGCTCAGTAGAAGTGGGTTGAATGATGCTGGCAACCAGACTGAGGACTTTGGTTGGCAGATAAAAGTACTGGAAGGGAAATCTTTGGATCAAAGTTGAATATATCTTTTTATTATTTATCTTTTAATGGACTATTAATTTTTTATCTTTTTTATCTTGGTATTCTTGACTGGATGTCTGCTTTACAGACCAATACCATCCAGATTTAATAGACTTGAAAAAGGTTAGAACTTCTGACATGCGGTCTGTGCCCTTTGTACCAATGCCAACTCCCCCACCCATTTAATTTCTTGTAGGGGTATTACAGAAAAACAAATTAAAGGAAAATCTTCTTAATGGGGTAACAAAAATAAAATTCTAACAGAAATTCTAATTTTTCATTCAAACTCTTTAATGCAGATTAAATACATTTTTTTCAGCATCCTTATGTGCAAGTTGGCATCTTATCAGCATATAGTGTATGTATTAGTTGCAAATGGCATAATCTGCCTCACTCTTACTATAGGTATTTGTCCCAGCTGCTCATCGAGGACCTCTTTGCTGCTAACTATTATTCGGTGTTGCCAGTAGGCAAGAATCTCTCAGTAACCCACAGGGTGTGTATATTGCGTGAATGTACTGTGGACCAGTGTATCTCTTTTTTTCAGTCAAGGCACCCTTTAAAATTATGCACAGTGTGGAGACATCTCATTCTAAAATGTAAAAAACTAAACTAATAGTTTTACATATTGCAGCATCATCCACACACGTAGGACACCCAACATTAGAGGTGATTTAGTATTTAATAGAAAATGCATTCATTACAGAAAGGTCTTCTTACCTAGACACTGTATTGTGTATTTTATATATATGTTATATATACATTATATTGTCAAAAATATTGGGACACCCCTCCAAATCATCGAATCATTGGATTCATGTGTTCCAATTACCTCCATGGCCACAGGTGTATAAAATCAATCACCTAGGCATGCAGACTGCTTCTACAAACATTTGTGAAAGAATGGGTCGCTCTCAGGAGCTCAGTGAATTCAAGCATGGTACCGTGATAGGTTGCCACCTGTGCAATAAGTTCATCCGTGAAATTTCCTTGCTACTAAATATTCCACAGTCAACTGTTAGTAGTATTATAACAAAGTAGATGCAACTGGGAACAACAGCAACTCAGCCATGAAGTGGTAGGCCATGTAAAATGACAGAGCGGGGTCAGTGCATGCTGAAGTGCACAGTGCGCAGAAGTTAGAATTCAATAGCTAAAGACCTCCAAACTTCTTATGGCCTTCAGATTAGCACAACAACAGTACATAGGGAGCTCCATGGAATGTGTTGCCGGGGCCGAGCAGCTGTATCCAAGTCTTACATCACTAAGTGCAGTGCAAAGCGTCAGATGCAGTGGTGTAAAGCACGCCGCTGTTGGACTCTAGAGCAGGGGAGACGTGTTCTCTGGAGTGATGAATCACACTTCTCTGTCTGGCAATTCAATGGATGTGTCTGCTTTTTGCGGTTGCCAGGAGAGCGATACTTGCCTGACTGCATTGTGCCAAGTGTAATGTTTGCTGGAGGGGGGATTATGGTGTGGGGTTGTTTCAGGGGTTGGGCTTGGCCCCTTGTTCCAGTGAAGGGGACTCTTAAGGCGTCAGCATAGCAAGACAATTTTATGCTCCTAACTTTGTGGGAACAGTTTGGGGATGGCCCCTTCCTGTTCCAAAATGACTGCGCAGCAGTGCACAAAGCAAGGTCTGTAAAGACATGGATGAGCGAGTGTGTGGTGGAGGAACTTTACTGGCCTGCACAGAGTCCTGACCTCAACTTGATAGAACACCTTTTGGGATGAATTAGAGCAGAGAATGTGAGCCAGACCTTCTCGTCCAACATCAGTACCTGACCTCACAAATGCGCTTCTGGAAGAATGGTCAAACATTCCCATAGAAACACTTCTAAACCTTGTGGACAATCTTCCCAGAAGAGTTGAAGCTGTTATAGCTGCAAAGGGTGGGCCAACCCAGTAATGAAGCCTACAGACTAAGACTGGGATGCCATTAAAGGTTCATGCTCATGTAAAGGTAGGCATTTCAATACTTTTGGCAATATAGTGTGCGTGTATATATATATATATATATATATATATATATATATATATATATATATATACACAACAGTTTAGTTTCCTTTCTCATGCTGTTATGCTATAACAAAACATGGAGTTTTCTAAATATTATTTCTGCCTAAATCCATTTTTGTCTAGCTCAAATTGGCAGCACTGAGTCTGAACTCAAGAAACTTGCTCAAGAAAATCCAGATCTTGAAGATGCTTACATTGCAAAGCAGAAACGCCTAAAAGTAAGCTCCATTGAAAGGACTTAAAATGGCTATTCCTTGTATATATTTTACATAAAATTGGTATTACCTGTGGAAACTTAATCCTTGCAGTGTACCTGTCGTCAGTAGGGACATCACTGTTTGAGGGCCTGCTAAGCAATATGCATCCAACCAACGTCGCTAGTCACAGTAACCACTTTTTTAAAATAAAGCCGAAATGTTAATAGTAATTATAGCAACAACAGGTTTGTGCACCCAAACAGATTTGCCAAGTTGGGTGAAGATGTGGGGGCGGCAAGCTCAGGGGTGGCAGCCCTGGATATCACTGCTATCCCTAACAGTCGGGAGGGCAGACCATCTGGGAGGGGTGGTGAGGGTAGGAAGGCCTAGACAGTTGGTGATAGTAGGGGATTCTATAATCAGAAGGACTGATACAATAATTTGTCGCCAGGATCGCCTCAACCGAATGGTTTGCTGTCTCCCTGGTGCCAGGGTTCAGCATGTGGTGGACCCAGTTGATAAATTACTGGGAGGAGCTAGGCATGACCCAGCTGTCTTAGTCCATGTTGGAACCAATGACAGAATACATAGAAGGTGGAGATTCCTTAAGAATCTATTAAAAAAAAACTAGGCTGCAAGTTGAAGAGAAGGACCTCCAAGGTGATATTCTCTGAAATATTACCTGGAAAGACAGGGGGAGATTAGAGAACTAAATGCATGGCTAAAGACCTGGTGTAAGAGGGAAGGATTTGGGTTTCTAGAGCACTGGGCTGACTTTTAATTCGGGTGCAACCTATATGCTAGAGATGGTTTGCACCTAAATTGAAGGGGGTCTGCTGTGCTGGGGGAGAGGTTTATGGAGAGGCTGGAGGAGTATTTAAACTAGGATCAAGGGGGGAGGGAGAATTAGATTATAATGGGGTAGACAGATCAGACAGGGGTCAGTCCTTGTTGGTGGGTGGAATGGGGAAAGATGGGCGGATGGCTATGGCAGATGATAAGAAGGTTCCCATGTTACAAAAATCCAGTGGAATTGGTACCATTTGTATGAAAGTAGAAAAAAATATGCAAAATACGTGTGCACAAGGTGTCAATGAATTAACGTGTTTGTTCACCAATGCCAGAAGTCTGCCAAGCAAAATAGGTGAGTTGGAAGCTTTGGTGCATGAACAGAACTATTATTTAATTGGTATTGCTGAATCTTGGCTTCATTCTTCACAAGACTGGCCATTAATATTCAAGGCTATGTTCTCTTTCGGAGAGATAGGGTAAAAAAGGAAAAGTGGTGGTGTCTGTCTCTATGTGAGAAGTGATCTCAGAGCAAGTGTGAAAGAGGACCTAGTTGATGGAGAGTGTGATGACGCTGAAGCATTATGGGTGGGAACTGCACATGGGGGTGCGATTTCATTTATTGTTAGCTGTAAACAACAAGCACATATAGGAAAAAGAAAAATACTCAACTTTAAGAGAGCTAATTTTCCAAGGCTGAGAGCTGCTCTCCAAGACTTAGACTGGGAGGGAATATTGGTATCGATAAACACAACACAGAAATGGGAGTTCTTCAAAAAGACTGTGTGTGAACACACTGCAAAATATGTTTCCATTGGCAACAAGTATAAAGGCTAAAAATCAAACTTATGAGGCTTATGGCCAAAGTTAAAAAAAAGCTATAGATAATAATAGAATAGCTTTTATTAAATATAAAAATGAAGGAACATTATTGTTTAAACATTACAAAGAAATACAGTAACAGAATATGCAAACAGGAAATGCCGCAAAAATTGAAAACAAGCGACAGATTGCAAAAGCAGGATAAACCCCCCAAAAATTCTTCAAATATATTAATAGTAAAAAGGTCCGGACCGAGCATGTAGGCCCTTTACAAAATAATCTAGAGTGGGTGACTGGGGACAAAGAGAAGGCAAATTTATTAAATACCTTCTTCAGCTCTGTGTATACAAAGGAGCATGGGGGAGCTCTTGTCCATAATGGGCATGGTATTGACACAGCTCCAGATGATCCACATTGGCTCACAATTCCATATGACTAGAAATATTTAGACAGAATAAAGGTGAATAAAGCACCTGGACTGGATGGCATACACCCACGGGTCCTTAAAGAATTGAGCTCTGTCATTTCAAAGCCATTGTTTCTTATTTTTAGGGACTCTTTAATGACTGGGTTTTTTGCCTTCCTCTGGATCAACTGTGGGTGTAGGATTATAACTTTTTTTTTTTATGGTTGAACTGGATGGACTTTAGTCTTTTTTCAGCCAGACTAACTATGTAACTATTTATTCTTTAAAATACATTGACTTTACATAATTTATTATACACTCATCAGTGACTGGTACAGGGGCAGCTCCAGACTAATTTTTTTGGGGTGCTATGCTGGTGCTTAAAGTATGAATGGGAGGTGCTAATGCACCCACCTACCGCACACATGTGGACATGGCCAAAAAGTGGGCATGACTAGCAAGTGGATTTTTCTTCATGGTCTATGGCTTGTAGTATAACACTTTTCCCTCTTTGTATATACCAAATAAGATCTGAGGGTGAACTGAGGAGACTTTGTGATTAAAATAAGCGCAGCTGAGGCCAGAAATGAAAACCCCCAGCTTGTGTCAAATTCAGCAATAATCCCTAACACAGCAAAATAATTAACTCCCAGCACTTCATAATAATGAATCCACAGTAGGACACAGAAATTAACCTCTAGCACAGCAAAGTATTTTAAACAGAGTTCAATACATAACCCTCAGCATGGCACAAGTAATTAAACCCCACCAACATTGCACAAAAATTAACCCTAAACATTGCACAATTTTCCCCCCAAATTACACAACAATGAGCCCCTAACACTGCATGATAAATGACCCACATTTGGTCAGTAGATCATGGGTACAATACCAGGATCCTGCAGACCCTCAGTACACTGTCTGCCTGCACCTCCTGTTCCCACAGGCAGTTACTAAATTGCAGGAAGAATCAATGGATTATGAGAGCGCTCACCTACACCCTTATAGTCAACTGAGAGCTACAAGTTGTTGGCTGCAGTCACAGGTAGGGAAGGAATGGGAGGGAGAGGAGGCAGGAGCTGAAACATGTTACATGTTCCACAAAAGTAAAGCTGTTTGCTAACTGACCCTAATCTCCCTCTATGCTGTTTGCCTTCTCTCCCTTTCTTCTTACTACATAAGCACCAGTATATTGACGCTATGGCTGCTTTGAGCCCTACTTTATAGTAAGTGGGCTGGCTTCTCAAAAAAGCCCTCAATATTGGCCGCACTAAGCAGCTGGCCATGGTTCAAAGGAATTTCAAAGCAGTTTGGGTTCAAAACATTTTTTACCAAGGTGAACTTTGACAAAAATGTTCTGGGACCATGAATTTCAACCTAAAAGGCTTTGCTCCAAAACCAGGTTTGGGTCAAATCTGAACTTCATTTCTTGTTAAGAGGTGAAATCTGATTGGTTGATGTGGATTAGTACACTTTTCACATCCCTAATGCACTGACACACTGACTAACCCTAGAAACATTTCACAAGGTTACCTGAAAAGATGACCCACTCATGGCCTCTCCCAACCCTCTGCCCCAGTTATTTCTGTCCTTCTTTAGACTGATCAAGGCATAAATCTCAATGCTTGGGTCTATGTTCTAAGCAGGCATTTTCAGTGCCCCTCCAGTTTCACAACCATAGTTATTAGCTCAGGAAAATCTACTGTATTTTGTGTGATCAATTCTTCCTCCTAAGATCAGTTCTTCAAGGGGTGACTTTAGCCTTTGTAGATTTCCCATGAGGACAGTGTTGTCTTAAGGAAGGGACCATGTGCAGGCCTAAAATGTTGACTGTATTGGACTATGTCATGTAACATAAATAAATACATGTATATATTTTCGATCTTCAACTGAGTGCTAGTGACCTTATTTCCTTTACTGTGGTTTTGCATAACGCCATCCATTATGGTCACTATAAGTACCACTGAGCTACATGGATGCAGTGCTGTAAGCAGTGCAGCACAGACTCATAATTCATAATGGGGAGAACAGCACATCCAGTCTGATAATCTTGCAAACCTACCAGCAATTTTGCTTTACGTATTTTGCTGGACTTTTATGAGTATTACACTTTTTAAAGAAAACAAGAACATCTCTTGCATGGGACATATCTATGGTTACAATGTATAAGGTTATAAAAAAGAAAAAGTAAACCAACTCTGTCACTGGATAAAATATTTAAAAAACACCCAGCCAGTATAGAAAAGGGTTAGTACTTTTCCCACCATGTGCACTCCCTCAAGAGTTGGTTCTGGCCAGCTCAGTGGATTGCTTCAAAAAAGGCCTGGATTGTTTCTTAGTATTCAGTTATATTCTGTGTATCTAACATTTATAGGTAAAGTTGATCCAGTGAATATCCGATTGCCTCTCGGGGGATCAGGAAGGATTTTTTTTTTTCCCAGCAGGAGCAAATTGGGTTGTGCTTTGCTGGTTATTTTTGCCTTCCTCTAGATCAACTGTGGGTATAGGATTATAACTTTTTTTTTTTATGGTTGAACTGGATGGACTTTTGTCTTTTTTTCAGCCAGACAGACTAACTATGTGCACCATGTTCACTCTGTTCTGGAGCTAAGTTTGCTAAAGCAATGTAAGCATCTGACACCTCTGAGAGTGAAGGATACCTGGTCTTCCTCTGTGCACTCCAACAGCCCCTACGTCACTACAATACACAGTAGTGATCTAGGGGACTTGTGGAAGGAACCAGAACATACAGTGGGATCCAGGCATCTGGCACTGGATGTATGTCAGAATTTTATAGCAAGCTTATCTTTACAGCAGAATAAAGATCTCTTCTTCACAGGCTGACGACAGACTCACGTTAAGTGAAAGCAATCAGGATTTAAAATGATGAAGTCAGATCAGTACATGATTAATTCTAATTTGTATTTATATCCATGCATAAATTCTGCTGTGAATAATTAGATTCTATATATTCCTGCCAGTAGAGGATTTATATTCATAAGAATGTATTATCATATGATGTTTAATACTATATTTATTTTGCTTATTCATATATGTTTGTAGAACAAATTGTTGGAACATGATAATATAAAATACCTAACAAAAATATTAGATGAGCTGGAAAAAGTCCTGGATCAAGTTGAAGTGGAGTTACAGAGACGAAGTGAAGAAACTCCAGGTCAGTGCAGAGTGTGCAAATGTGTTATTACAAAAGTAGGAACTGTCTGTGCAGTACATAGCTATTCAGATTCCAATAGATATATTGACGATAGAAATAATCCAACTGTTCCCTGTGACAACAGCTTATCTTTGCCCAGTAAGGGCCCTTTCATGCAGTGCTGCTCTGCCCTGTTCAGCATGCCAGTTTTGTGACATTTGTGGCCATTCAGTTTGTGTTTCTATTTTGACAGCAGACTGTGGTAGACCTGTGATGTCTCCATGGGTGGACAGACTTACGTTCCTTTACATCAGGCTACCTGCGATCTGTCACGTTTAGGTCTGAAAATAGGGAAAAAGGATGCCATTTTTTTCCATACTACCTCCAATCTGTCATGTTTAGGTCCAGAAATGTGGAAGAAGATGCTGTCCTTTACCATTTTTTTCCAGACTTGGACAGACTCTGAGGTAGGCAGATATAAACAGATACCAGTCTGTTTACATCTACCTGCCCATAAAGCTGCATGGAGTTTTCAAACATGTGCATGTCTTCAAACACCTGAGATGCAGAGGTGTTCAGTGCAGAGGTGTGCAGGCACACTGTTGAAATCAATGACAAGTGGCTGGCTGCATGGACCTGGATTGACCTCCATGCGCATCCCCGTGTGCACATCCATGCGAGTCTAATGCCAGACAAACTGTGTTCTGATTTGTGCAGTGGATCCACACGGATATACACTCCAGGATGGGCATAGAGATCCATGCAACTGGTTGCCTGTCATTGATTTCAACAGGCTGCCTGCATGCCCCTGCATGAAACACCTGTGCATCCTGGACGACAGAAAATGGCCCTTTCGCAGGGGTATGGATTGGTTCACCCACTTGAATAAGCCTTAAATGAATATCAACTTCTCTCCAATCAAAGCAACCACCATGAATTCTTTATTATGTTTGTTATATTTACATGGTAAAAAAGGTTCATTAATAAATTGGCTATTCATTTTTCTTGGCTGTAGAGGAAGGCACAAGTAATGATTCCTGGCTCTGTGGACAGTTCTTCAGCCTAGCAGATGTATCGTTAGCTGTCACTCTCCACCGGTTGAAGTTCCTAGGATTTGCTAGAAGAAACTGGGGGAATGGCAAGCGCCCTCATCTAGAGGCATATTATGAACGGATCCTACAGAGAAAGACTTTCAATCAAGTTCTGGGAAATGTCAACAATATTTTAATCTCTGCTGTATTGCCCACTGCATTCCGTGTGGCAAGAAAACGAGCTCCCTCCATTCTTGGTTCCACTCTAATGATGGGGTTACTTGCCGGAGCGGGGTACATCTTCTTCATGTGCATTAGAAAGAGACTGTTTAATGTCTTCACCTCAATTAGGGCAAAACACTTTTTTTAGTTCTTTTTAATGATGTGAAAATGGATATCAGTTTAATATGTCATCACCACTGCTAATAAACAGACAAGAATGGGGCCAAAAATGGAAAGCTATAATAGTCAGTGTATGTTTAGCATTGCCCAGCTACTCACATATCTCAAGTATGAAACTGTGTTTAAATATATACCACCATAATAAATGTATAAAACATTTTTATTGTATATAATTAATATTTCAAAAATGTGTTCTACTGTATTTATCAGAATATACCTGAAAGGATGTCTGAAAATATTTATCAGTTGGTTTGATGAAAATTACAAAATCTTCTAATACATGTTTTTCTCAAAAAATGTTTACATGTATAGCAGTTTCCATGGACAAAAAAATTACCCGAATCTCAGCTAACAAACACAGATGTGGAACAGAAGACCTTTATAACGGATGGATGTCCTAAAATGGAAAAGATAGTCTGGAATCCAAATCACGACTGGTTTTCATGGTGTAAACCATTAGCAACTTTCATGTCCACCCTCTGATTACATGGAGAAAAGTTTTTCCCCTGCATTTAAATGTAGTTCTTTGCTTAACATAACAGTTCCCATTGGCCATTTTCCAATCTGCTCACCATGCTCATTGCTTCTGAGTGTTTTTTAGGGATTGTGTCAATGGACTTTGGGCTTCTGAGATACATAACTCACAGGTGCATGTGACATGCAGCTGGCCTGCTTCTTACTTGCATTTGACCCTCTTCAAGCAGGCTTTGCATTCTCATAGACTTGTATTAGTATGCAAAACCCATCTTAACAAAGTGAACAAAAGTCTGTTGACACAAGCCTTTACTTCATCTGTGGGGTGGACTCTACTAAACTCTAGACAGGCCCTCAGGGGGGTTACCTTAATTCGGTAGGACGTTAAAGCTGAAGTTTAGTATCTTTTCTTTTTTTTTTTATTGCTATACTGCACCAGGGACAAAACTAATCTCTGATGAATGGTGGCCAACCTCCTTCTGGCTTTTTTCTTATTATAGAAATCCTTCACTGATGTTAGATCCTCCTCACAGCTCTGAACTTCTGGCACTACATGAGTTAGGAGGAGCCGATGAGGCTGTGGAACTCTCTTGACACCTGCTTTCTCATTCTTCCTCCTCCTCAATGAAGAAAACTCTGTGTATTTTCACCAAGTGCAATATGTTTCATGAGTGGGGGGTGGGGAGGGGGGGGGATTCTGTCATTCATCCACCTTTCCCACATTAAGAAAATGTGTTGCATTCTGTGAAAACAATACATGGAGTTTTCTTACTTGAGGAGGTTGGAGGAAGGGAACGTGTCGGAGTGTCGGGGGGCTTTCCCAGCAGCAGTGGTTACATGCAGAAAGCAGGTTGTAGGGCACGCTTCATTAGAGGAAGTAATGTTCCTGGAGCACTATACCTAAAAGAAATGTTACTAAACTTCAGCTATAAGGTAGAGTGAAAAGTATCAGTCACTGTAGTGCACCTGAACTTGGTACTCTGTGGAACACAGTCAGTCCTTCCTCTTACCTCTTCTGGGTAGTCATCCAGCCCAGCTGTGTTAGGTGATTGTATTGCACAGCTTAATTTCTCTGTGCAGCACTTACTTCATCCCCTTGCACATAAGCTTTTTTTTTTTTTAAAGTGCCACTGGACACAAGAGACACACCACTGCTCTTTCTTCAAACTTTATTATACCTATAACAGAATTGGGCCATGGAACAGAACTTCTTTTCAACATGATCCCTCTAGATATGATTAGTTGTTGGTGCAAACACTACAATAAACACTCCAATATAATAATAATAATAGTTATTATTATTATACAGGATTGATATAGCACCAACAGTTTGCACAGCACTTTACAATGTCAGGGCAGACAGTATAGGTACAATACAATTCAATGCAGGAGGAATCAGAGAGCACTGTTTTTAGAGCCAATATAGCATCTTCTTCAAACAGAGACAATAGGCCCACTATGTGAGTTCTGTTTGGAGTTCCCCTTCCCTGAACTGCTTCTTGAGTCTTTGCACTCTACCCTCTAGTCCAGTGGTCTCCAAACTGCGGTTCTGGGGCCGGATGTGGCCCTTTGCTTGCCTTTATCCAGCTCTTAGGGCACTGTACCTTACTGATACAACACTATTCCCCTCACTGACACCAACAATGTGGCACTATGCCTCCCATTGACACCAACAATGGGGTACTATTCCTCCCACTGACATCAACGATTGGGCATTATTCCTTCCACTGAAACCAGCTATGGAGTACTATTCCTCCCACTACCAATGAGGGTATAGTTTTCCTCCCACTGATATCAATAATGGGGCACTATTCCTCCCACTGACAACAATGATAGGGCACTATTCCTCCCACTGACACCCATGATGGGGCACTATTCTTCCCACTGACACCAACAATGGGGATACTATTTCTCCCACTGACACTAATGTCTGGCCCTCCTAAAGGCTGAAATACAAACTGTATGTAAACTGAACCTTTGCTTAGAATGTTTGGAGAACCCTGCTCCAGTCCATTGGTCCTACCATGATTCCCAGGGATTTACTCATACATCAACATTATATATTTTCAGCACCCAGACAAGCTGGTATTGTGTCATACACTTGGTAATGTTACACAATGAGAAAATACAGGAGTTTCTCAATATATTTGTGGTTTCAACCTTTAAAAACCAAAAGCATTTTATAAAAAATGTGTTATTGAAGACACTTGTTTTTAAAAAACCAATGTGTATTGTAGGGCTCATAAATGCATTGCAGCATAAAAGTATGTATCTTCTGTGGCTTTGGAATTATCTGAAATACATTTGAAATGCCGAACCCTTGTACTTGAGACCTTGAGGCTGGCTGCACATCTCTGTGTTGTGATCATAAATTGTGCGTTTTACTTTTCATGATTATAACACTAGAAGGTGTGTTGGGATGCCACTTCAATGCACCTTCCAACTGACTCCCAACACGTATGATGCAGCACACCAAAATGTGCAGATTGGAAAAAGAGTCTGTATATTGTAGTGCAGTGCATTTCAAAACTATGCATTGATTTTGGTGCATTGGCAGCACATCAAAAATGAATGCAACACACTGCACATCTGTTAAAGCTGAGCTCTGGGGTTTTTGTTATAAATACCATTGCAGTGCATCCCCACCCTCCGCGCTGAAAGGGTTAAATGCTCATCAAGTCTAGGGAAGGAGGAATAAGCTATACACTAAAGGTGTAACTAGAACCTTCAGGGCCCTGGTGCAAGAAACAATGAAGGGTCCCCTTGACCTCTAGCCTCGGGGCCCTTCCCACTGATCCAGGAGTCCTTTATTCTCATTGCAGTGGCCTTTATTATGGTCCTGCAGCGGGACCCCTTCCTGCCATCTTGGGTAGGGTTGCCACCTTTACTTCAAGCCAAACCCGAAGACTGTAGTTGCGCACAGCAATTTTTTTTTGTACTATTCATGTATATTTGTGATTAAATAATTCTAATTATATTGGATAAAAGTCCCCTCTTACATCAGAATCCTCAGAGTTCCCTCTTTACATCTGAATCCACAGAGTTCCGCTTTACATCTGAATTCACAGAGTTTCCTCTTTACATTTGAATCCATAGTTCTGCTTTACATCTAAAGATGTAGTTTCCCACTTACATCTGAATCCACAGAGTTTCCTCTTTACATGTGAATCCATAGTTCTGCTTTACTTCTAAATATGTAGTTTCCCATTTACATCTGAATCCACAGAGTTTCCTCTTTACATGTGAATCCATAGTTCTGCTTTACATCTAAATATGTAGTTTCCCATTTACATCTGAATCCGCAGAATTCTCATTTACATCTGAACTTGCAGAGTTCCCCTTTACATCTGAATCCACAGAGTTCCCCAGACATGTGCCTGTATCCGATTTGATCAGATTCAACCAGCTGAAAACAGATGGAAGAGAACCCATTCTCCATCCATCTAGCGGTTCAGATCCGATGTCAGACGGATGTAAATGGACAGGTGATCCGTTTACATTCGACCATCTCATAGAGAACAGCGGGTTGTGTCCATGTCTGCTCTGAATGGATCCGCTTGGCGAAGTCTGCCAATATGAAAGAGCCCTAAGTGGGAACGCTGTGAACTGTAATGGAAAAGGGAGCTCTGATGTAAGGGGTGTTCTGGAAACCCTGATGTAAGGGGGTCTCTGCTCACCAAAGCCCCCACTTACATCCACAGGGCACCCCTTACATCTGAGTCTTTTTTTTCATTTCAGTCCACTGAGCTCCCCCTTAAATTAGTGTACTGAGGCAGGAGAGAAAAGGGAGAGAGGGGGGACACTTCACTCACCATGGATGGTGAGCTCACTCACACCAGGAAGGAGGCTCAGGCAGGCTGCATACTTCCTCTACAATCTAGTTGCCTGCTGCTGGACATTCCCGCTAAATCAACCGCTTTTTGAGCGCAGTGCTGCTGGGGATTGGAGTGTGGGTGGGGCCACGGGCTCAAACAGGACAAGAGGGGCAGAAGGAGGAGGAACAGATCCTGCTCTCTTTCTCTTCTAGGAAGAAAACAAACTCTCTTGCACTCTATCACCCAACCAGGGGTAGATAGATGGAACCAGGACTTGAAAGTTTCTACCACCAGTGCATATGGGGTTGTGCAGCTCCAAACAAGGCTGGGGAAGCCCGACCAATACTGCAAAGTGAAAACAAACAAGAAGCGCACCAACCTTGCGCATTACCTCAGTAAGCCAAAGCATCCCTTCTTCATTAGAGCTTCAATGAAGATGGGATGCCCTTCAAAACACGTACCCCGAGTGTCTACTTCTATGATGGGACTCATGCAGACTGCTTCAATCCTTAGTCCCTGTGAGAACTTACATGCTTGATATTCTATGTTGTTTGTGAGTATTATTCTGTATCTAATAAATTTTGGCTTACTGAGGTAATGCGCAAGGTTTGGGCGCTTCTTGTTTGTTTTCACTCCTCTTTCTCCTCTCCCATTCATGATGTGGGGGAGTGGGGGGGAC